CTGAGGAAACATGATATCATGAGCCTCCATCACACACCTTCCTGAGGATAAACATGATAACATAAGTCTGCATAACTTGACACCAATGTTGCACATGTGTAGTCCCACACCATCTACTTACTATCTGTCCAGGTTTACAGGGTAATTTTGAAAGCTAACGGATCTGCATACTTGAGGTGGCTGGGCATTCGGCTGTTGCAAGGTTTCTATCTCTTGATAATATTATTTACCACTTCATGTTTTATAATATTTCCCTTGGATCAGTGGCAAGCAAGACCATGGTATCCGAATCGCTCTGCGAATTTATTGCCGCAGATATCCTGTACTCGGCGAGAATGGGAGCGGCAAGGCGATGGGAAGCACTAGTGCGAATGGTCTGCGGGTCGAGGAATGTGAAAAGGTAGGAACTGAGGACAGCCAACAGGAAATCCGCCACATGAGCAGTTCTCACTGCTAGAAGACGAGCTCTGTCCTTCACCAAAACACTTTGAAGCAGTGTTGAGACTATGTTCTCCACTACTGGGCCATCCTAGTGTGACTGTAGTTGTTGGGGAGAGCAGGGTTCGTTGCAAAACTAGTTAGATTATCCCAGAGCCTAGATCCATCAATGAACTTTTGGTCACGAATTCCAACATTGTCCCTGAGGTGTTTAGGAACAATCACTTCAACAAGTTTACTCTGGATGCTACACATGAACACAGGAAAACAGTGAATGCAATCTGTGATCTCCTGCGGAAAACACCTATTCTGACTGGAAGTATAGCATAGTCCCAATGTCACTCATCTAGAGTACGATTGACGGTGCACATCTTAGGATATATGTTAGCTTGGGCAGATTCAGGCATTTTGTGATAAGATACAGGGCATCGTGGGTGTCTAGACTGCCAATTTGCAGTTCATCCTACTCAAATCGTCTAGTTTCTACTCGAGAATTAAGTCAGTTCCATCAGTTCCAAGAAGTGTTCAGGCAAGACACTGTTGGGGTAGTGATTGATGCACCTGGTATTATGGATCTCACTGCTTCGAACACTTCTTTACTGGTTGAGAGGATTTCACTTTTGGATGAATTAAGGATGAATCCCATATCATGTCCCAGTGTTATCACCTGAGCAAGATCTGTTTGAAGCGACTCCTTCGTGCCTGTCAGTGTACCATTATCCAGGAAGCAAGAGAACTGAATCGAGAGGATCCCCTTGCTCGACACCCTCCCATGAAGTGATTTCGTGCTCCCTAAACAGAAGCATCGATTCCTTGCTGTATTAACAGCTGATAATACCACGACTCTTTTCAGGAGATTAAATGCATTCTTGAAATCTAATTTTACTACTGCATTGTTCTCAGGTAGGTTGCTGATACACGCTCTTGTTCCAAGAACCGCTGCGTCGCTGCCTTGAGGGACCCCAAAGCCAAGATCGTTTGGTTGAAGCATTATAGCCACCTCTATTTGAAATACTTCGGGCATCAGCTTGGAAAACGAGGCGGCGAGGAATGTTGCCCACGGCAATTAGTTTATTTTTTCCATCTTTTTAAGAGAACAGAGTGGTGTGCCAAAGAAAAAAAGCTGAATTTTGCCAGGAATCAAACCAACCAAAGACTTTTTACGTACCTCGTAATATCTGATAGGAATATCCCTGCAATCTCCCCGAGAGCTAGAATCTTATTCCAGTTTAGCCCCTAGTGTAGTCCCCAGATAGGAGCGGCAAATAATCTGTAAACGTCTGAGACTTGCACAAACAATAGTTCCACAAAGGGGCAGAGGCGTTAGAACTGCTGGTGTCCCTGGTGTCCCTGGCAGAGGGCATTTTCACTAAGTGCTTGTAAAGTGTCAACATCTCTGTGGGAAACTATATTTTGACTGGTGATTATCCTGATTACCTTCACTGAGTTACCTCTCTTCAATTTTTGTTGCTCATCAAGATTCTGATTTTCTCACTCTCAGTGGAATGATTAGGGTGGGTCTGTCTCTCCCGTTTTTGTGTTGCTGAGGAAGACGAATGAAGTTGTCAGCGCTGGGAAAAACTCTTAAGATGGGACGAAACCAAAATGTTTCTCGATATCGATACCGATACCCAATTTTGGCCGATATTTTTCCTATATTTTTTTAAACTGATAATTTTCAGTTATATTAAAGATCAAACTGAATTATATAGCACTACATAACTTTAAGATTTTAAAACATTGTGAAAACTGAAAAATAAATTCTTTATTGTAATCGCTGGAAATAAAATTATAGTTAAGAACTTGAGCACTTTCTCTCCATTAATAAAATGAATTAACCGACACATTTTCATTATTCAGTTTATAGTTTCTTTATAAAATTTGATGAAAAACATTGAAAAATAGAGAAACACATACATTTGGTTTCTCCTTTTTTTTGTGATTTAGAAAATGATCACAAGACAGATGTTTGTGACGTGATGTTGTTGGGAATACTGTCTACAAGTTCTTCATAACATTTATGAAAGTCAAACTCATAAAGTTCTTCATGCCATGTTATATCATCTGGAGTTTCTTCATATGACTCGATGCTGCTTTATGATGCTACCAAACCAGCTGCACTCTCTGAGTTCTTGAGCTGCTGCACTCTCTGAGTTCTTGAGGTGCTGCACTATCTGAGTTCTTGAGGTGCTGCACTCTCTTGAGTTCTTGAGTTGCTGCACTCTCTGAGTTCTTGAGCTGCTGCACTCTCTGAGTTCTTGAGGTGCTGCACTCTCTTGAGTTCTTGAGCTGCTGCACTCTCTTGAGTTCTTGAGTTGCTGCACTCTCTGAGTTCTTGAGCTGCTGCACTCCCTCAGCTCTTGAGCTGCTGCACTCTCTTGAGTTCTTGAGTTGCTGCACTCACTGAGTTCTTGAGGTGCTGCACTCTCTTGAGTTCTTGAGTTGCTGCACTCTCTGAGTTCTTGAGCTGCTGCACTCTGAGTTCTTGAGGTGCTGCACTCTCTGAGTTCTTGAGCTGTTGCACTCCCTCAGCTCTTGAGCTGCTGCACTCTCTTGAGTTCTTGAGTTGCTGCACTATCTGAGTTCTTGAGGTGCTGCACTATCTGAGTTCTTGAGGTGCTGCACTATCTGAGTTCTTGAGGTGCTGCACTCTCTGAGTTCTTGAGGTGCTGCACTATCTGAGTTCTTGAGGTGCTGCACTCTCTGAGTTCTTGAGGTGCTGCACTCTCTGAGTTCTTGAGGTGCTGCACTATCTGAGTTCTTGAGCTGTTGCACTCCCTCAGCTCTTGAGGTGCTGCACTCTCTGAGTTCTTGAGGTGCTGCACTATCTGAGTTCTTGAGGTGCTGCACTCTCTGAGTTCTTGAGGTGCTGCACTCTCTTGAGTTCTTGAGCTGCTGCACTCACTGAGTTCTTGAGGTGCTGCACTATCTGAGTTCTTGAGGTGCTGCACTATCTGAGTTCTTGAGTTGCTGCACTATCTGAGTTCTTGAGGTGCTGCACTATCTGAGTTCTTGAGCTGCTGCACTCACTGAGTTCTTGAGTTGCTGCACTATCTGAGTTCTTGAGCTGCTGCACTATCTGAGTTCTTGAGGTGCTGCACTCTCTGAGTTCTTGAGCTGCTGCACTATCTGAGTTCTTGAGCTGCTGCACTCTCTGAGTTCTTGAGCTGCTGCACTATCTGAGTTCTTGAGCTGCTGCACTCTCTGAGTTCTTGAGCTGCTGCACTCTCTGAGTTCTTGAGCTGCTGCACTCTCTGAGTTCTTGAGCTGCTGCACTATCTGAGTTCTTGAGGTGCTGCACTATCTGAGTTCTTGAGGTGCTGCACTATCTGAGTTCTTGAGGTGCTGCACTATCTGAGTTCTTGAGGTGCTGCACTATCTGAGTTCTTGAGGTGCTGCACTATCTGAGTTCTTGAGGTGCTGCACTATCTGAGTTCTTGAGCTGCTGCACTCTCTGAGTTCTTGAGCTGCTGCACTATCTGAGTTCTTGAGTTGCTGCACTATCTGAGTTCTTGAGTTGCTGCACTATCTGAGTTCTTGAGCTGCTGCACTATCTGAGTTCTTGAGTTGCTGCACTATCTGAGTTCTTGAGCTGCTGCACTATCTGAGTTCTTGAGTTGCTGCACTATCTGAGTTCTTGAGTTGCTGCACTATCTGAGTTCTTGAGGTGCTGCACTATCTGAGTTCTTGAGGTGCTGCACTATCTGAGTTCTTGAGCTGCTGCACTATCTGAGTTCTTGAGCTGCTGCACTATCTGAGTTCTTGAGGTGCTGCACTATCTGAGTTCTTGAGCTGCTGCACTATCTGAGTTCTTGAGTTGCTGCACTCTCTGAGTTCTTGAGTTGCTGCACTTCCTCAGTTCTTGAGCTGCTGCACTCTCTGAGTTCTTGAGCTGCTGCACTCTCTGAGTTCTTGAGCTGCTGCACTCCCTCAGCTCTTGAGCTGCTGCACTCTCTGAGTTCTTGAGCTGCTGCACTCTCTGAGTTCTTGACTTGCTGCACTCTCTGAGTTCTTGAGCTGCTGCACTCTCTGAGTTCTTGAGCTGCTGCACTCTCTGAGTTCTTGACTTGCTGCACTCCCTCAGCTCTTGAGCTGCTGCACTCTCTGAGTTCTTGAGCTGCTGCACTCTCTGAGTTCTTGACTTGCTGCACTCCCTCAGCTCTTGAGCTGCTGCACTCTCTGAGTTCTTGACTTGCTGCACTCCCTCAGCTCTTGAGCTGCTGCACTCTCTGAGTTCTTGAGTTGCTGCACTCTCTGAGTTCTTGAGCTGCTGCACTCCCTCAGCTCTTGAGCTGCTGCACTCTCTGAGTTCTTGAGTTGCTGCACTCTCTGAGTTCTTGAGCTGCTGCACTCTCTGAGTTCTTGAGCTGCTGCACTCTCTGAGTTCTTGAGTTGCTGCACTCTCTGAGTTCTTGAGCTGCTGCACTCTCTGAGTTCTTGAGTTGCTGCACTCTCTGAGTTCTTGAGCTGCTGCACTCTCTGAGTTCTTGAACTGCTGCACTCCCTCAGTTCTTGAGCTGCTGCACTCTCTGAGTTCTTGAACAGCTGCACTCTCTGAGTTC